ACTGATGGTCGCGATTTGGTCTGCCATGCCAGCGCCTGGGACTTCTATTTGCAGAACGATGTGCGGATCAAGCAGTGCACCCAAGTGACGCAGAACCAACTCTTTACCGTGCACCATGAGCTGGGACACATCCAATACTTCCTGCAATATCAGCATTTGCCATTTGTCTATCGCACTGGCGCCAATCCTGGTTTCCATGAAGCTGTTGGAGATGTCCTCTCACTGTCGGTATCGACGCCAAAGCATCTGGAGAAGATCAACCTGCTGCACAACTTTGTGCTCGACGAGGAGGCGCGCATCAATCAGTTGTTCTTGACGGCGCTCGATAAGATCGTATTCCTGCCGTTCGCTTTCACAATGGACAAGTACCGTTGGTCGCTGTTCCGCGGCGAGGTGGAAAAGTCCAAATGGAATTGTGCATTCTGGAAGCTGCGCGAGGAGTACTCAGGCATCGAGCCGCCTGTGGTGCGCACCGAGAAAGATTTTGATGCGCCCGCCAAGTACCATATATCAGCAGATGTGGAGTACCTAAGGTAAGGGAAGTTTGGGAGTTTTTTTCGATTAGAATTCAAACAAGTTCTTTGCTTATATAGGTACCTGGTTTCGTTCATCATTCAATTCCAATTCTACAAGTCGGCTTGCATCAAGGCCGGTCAGTACGATCCCAAGAACCCGGCCTTGCCTTTGGATAACTGCGATATCTACGGCAGTGTAGAAGCGGGCGCTGCTTTCCAGTGAGTATATTTGAGCACTGAAGGAAGGGTCTTAGAGAGTTACCCCTTTTATTATTTTCCATTTATGTAGTAACATGCTCTCGCTGGGCGCTTCTAAGCCCTGGCCAGATGCACTGGAAGCCTTCAACGGCGAGCGCATCATGTCTGGCAAGGCCATAGCCGAATACTTTGAGCCTCTGCGCGTCTGGCTTGAGGCGGAGAACATCAAGAACAATGTGCATATTGGCTGGACAGCGTCAGATAGTAAGCTTCCCTTGGACTGCTAGTCTACACATATTATTTTCAGTTACTATATAAACCCTTTGCTCTCTTTTTCCATTCACAGAATGTGTCTCTGCCTAGTTTTCGATGTCTCCTCTGGGTAATTCCCAAAATTTTTTCGCTTCAACAAGTTCGTCACAAACATTGATTATGTGAAGTATTAAAGAGCCATTTAAAAAACAAAATTCGTGTCTTGACTTTTATTTTAACTGAACTAGAGCAAGAAATTATAATTACAAATGATGCTCAATGCTGTTAATTTGCAACGCTGTAACTGTAAATATCGTGTTGGGAATAGGAGAATGTGAAAGTAAGGTTGAAAGAACACTTTAAGTAAGTAAAGCGAGGCAAAGTGATAGATGTTGTGGGAATTAGGACTTTCAGTTCGTTCTGTAATCCCTGTTTGCAGCGGATGTCCTCAACTTACACTACGTTCCACAAACATCCATATAAGTGAATAGATACCCAAGTAATAGCCCACACTTTCAGCAGCTACAGTAACAGCCAAACCGGCCAATCAATTAATTACCGACTCTCACGCCGAGCCAGTTAGTCACACATACATCTTGTCCGAGCCGAGCTATTTACTCTACTCTGCTGCAGCTCTGCTGCCGACTCACATAGAAATCAGTCGACTCAAGGCTGGATCAAATACGAAAGCACACATAGAGAGCCCAGCTATTTCCCATACCCTCAACATACCCACCTCAGCCGTCTCACTCACACACGACAAAAATTCAGGTCAAAGCGAGATCAAATACCAAAGCGCACATGGAGAGCAGAGAAATTATCTATACTATCAACTGTAGAAAGACCTCTGCGCTTTTGGCTCATGCTAAAGTTCCAATCGAGTCTCACTCTCACTCTCACTCTCACACACACACTCCATTGAAGATGGCAGCATATGTAAATGCGAATTTAAGTCTGGTTTACTCACAACAATGGGATCAAACGCGAAAGCGCAAAGGGGTAGCCGAGTCCAACAGCGACAGCGGCTCTGCTGTCAAGCGGATAGCCGGACATTAATCTAAACGTCAGTCCTCGGATATTAGTTTTTTGTCTGTAGCGGACTCACACAAAGACAATGGTCACTCAGCTTTCAATGCGTTTCACACATACATGGATATTCATAGCCGTTGTCCACTCTGAGAATAAACACTTGCGTTCAGGTCTTTCACTTGTCGCAATAGGGATCAAAAGCTTTACGGATAATGCCCACTGAACTCTCTCTCTCTGTATCCCTCTGTAAATAACATTTCATCTCATGTTTGTCGGCTGCCTTCAGTGGTTCTTTGGACATCGTTCAGTACACAAGTGAAGCGCATCACTCTGTTTGACTTAAGTCATATACAAATTTAATTCGAATATTTTTTACTTATTTAGAGTAACAGCCTCTAATTACATTTGGCTAAAAATTGATTTTTGCCTAAACGTATGTGCTAGGAAATTGACTTTCATGCTGCAGCGAAAAGTATGCAATATTCAGTGTTGACTGTATTGAATAATATTCTAGCTTGGAAATAGATGGAGATAGAAATAAAATTTATATTATACACGTAATCTTCGCTGGGTGTAACACTCGCGTAATGATTGACTTAATAATCTACAATATCTTATGAAATTAGCGAATATATTAGTTCAGTTAGTTAACTCGAAAGTAAATTAACTTTGTTCTATTCACAAATTCAATTAGTTTAAACTTGCAAATAACTGAGAGGAAAACCGGAAAACTTCTAAAAATACAAATTAAGCAAAAAACCCACTATAATTAAAATGCAATTCATTATGATGACTACGCGCACAACTGATAATTGGAATAAAGTAAATAGTTAATAAAAACATTGCTAGCTTTAAGATTATTCATAGAAGTGTATGGATCAATTAGTAACAGATATTTCTTAATTATAATTATTTTCCCACGCTTACCAGCCAGCTGTCTCGAGCTATATAACATATTCACAATAAGTGTGTACTTAAGGTATGACTAGATAGACATATCACATAAGATCACTTGAAGTACTTTAGATGCGACCTTGAACTGCAGTAATCCAAGCAAATAGGTCAGGCATGCCTGGTTGGGAGATACGCTGTAGATCTTTTTGAAAAGCATCTTATATTTAAGAATATTTTTAGTACTACCCATATTCTTCTGCATACATATACTCCAAAATAATCGAACGACGTCATGTTATTACATATATTATACAACTTTATTTGGACTTACCCACAATTAATAATAAGTAGGAGAGGAATGTTTGACTATCAGATACTCTATATAACTGTCTCTGAGATATGGTTCCGAATATTTTGAAAGCCTAAGATAAAGGTGTTATCCTGATCGACAGCATTTCTTCATTTCATTTTTTTTAGATATTATCTTGACTTGTAGCAAATTACGTTTAATAGCAAGTTGGGGAAATGTATCTGACGTGAAAATTACCTGCACAGTTGCCCATTTCATCAAATCGAAATAAATGACTAAAAAATATCCTGAAATAAGCTAATACTACTATACATACTATTCTATCCACAATTAAATGGGAAAAGCAATTAGATTGACAATAAAATACATAAATTTGCATATCTCCCTTTCAATGTCCATTACCTTCTACAGGGTATTTTAACAAAGCTCTGATCTGTTCCAGACTGCAAATGTATGAGTGATTATTTATGAGCTCATTTCCGTGGAAAGAAACTAGAGATCCCGAACTAATTACACCGTGATTCATATACATACACATTTATTTACATATATATATGCATTTATTTATATATAATATTATGCTTACCTGTTTATTTGTATGCCATTGGGGCAATCAAATCATCAATCAGTCTTACTCATATCACCCCTTTAGTTAGCACCTTCTCTCTCTCTCGCTTTATCTCCACAATTGATCTTTGCTGCAACCATTAATTTTACACACACACACTTGCATGCATACGCCCCCCACTCTCGTCGCACGATGAGTCAAAACACTTTTTCACATGCGCCTAGGTCAAGAGTGACATTCCACGGGCCGCAAAGTGAGGCGTTTTTGCATTTTCAGTTAGACGCGCACTGACTGCCGCTGCGGCGCCGACGCCGACGCTGACTGTAACTGCGGCCATATAAACAAGCATTACAAATTACTTTAATGCATTTTGCTAGTTTTTATGTTTAGCTACTTTATTTTTAAGTATCGAGTACCCAAATTAGATAGAATAAGAAAAAAATAAGAGCTAGCACTAGCATTCACCATTCACTTATGTATGTATGTTTGTTATGCTCGATGATTGGTATCGATACTTGATCGATTGCTTGGTATTCTTTAATGAGCACAAATCGGTCACACTTGTGTGCGTGCGCGAAAATAAAACACAATTAAATGGTTTTTGAATTGTTGACAGACAAAAAGTGTAAATAGTATATATCAAATGCGTATACATTTACTAAAATTGAATAGTGTCGACTTTTGAGTGGGTGCCGCCTAAAATGAACGACTCATTCATTTCATAACCTGAGTACTTTCTCACACTCGCCATAATTATGCGGCTAAACCTTTTTTTTTAACTGATTAGTACTCGGTGTTGTACTTGTAAGCTCGTATGTATATATGTATGTATATGTATTTGTATATTCGTTTAGCATGCCCTCACCCTCCCTTATAATTGCAAACATGCATGCAAAAACATTTACATGCACACACACACACACACATAGACACTTTAACTTGTTGCCTATTGTGTTCCCAAGCTTATGGCTGATTTGATTGTTGTTGTTATTGCTGTCGTTAACTGCGACGTCAACTGCTCAGCTATCGCAGTCGCAGTGCTAATTGCGTTTATCTCACACAACATGTAGGGAACATCGCAGGTAGACTCAGCTGCGACGCCGACTGCGACGCGGATTGCAACTGCGACGTCGCTTCGTTGAAATTTGAATTCATTTTCGAGTCACCAACAAAATAATACAAAAAAAGTTGCTAAGTAATTTCGAAAAAAATTCTTACACTCAAGTCAGTAGAGTTTTAGACGCGTTACGTGACGTTACGTGGGTGTACGGGCTCCGAAGTTTTCCGAAACAGAAAGTGACCTCATAATTCGAAAACAGTGCTATCTCTAAACGCAGCTTACGAAAAGTATCTTGATATAAATAGAACTGAAATCTAAATCTGATAATTTGTTATTATCTCAGAGATCTGATGCCAAGAATGATCCATAATATGTGTTTTTGTGAATAAAGTTATTTTTAGTGAATGTTTTATGGTCTATAATAATCCCTTTAAAAAACTGCTTTATAATATAAAATAAAGTTATTTCAACAGATTTTCATTGAGAAAAAAAAAATATAAGAAATCCAAAAAGCTGTGTGAAAATATGAATTAAAAAAAAAAAAAGATAATAAAAAGTGCATAGAAATTACAAACATGTATTTGTCGACATATTTAATACTAAAAAGTCAATAAATAATTAAAAAAAAAATATTATTGCATTAAAAAATATTTTAAAAAAATGTATAAACAAACAAAATATATATATATATATATATATACGCTTCAATATATTATTAAATAATTAAATCTCCAGCAGCAGAACATAGAAAGAGGATTAAAATATTAAAAATATGTATAATCAAAAATATTATTAAAATAATAAATAAAAATATTCTCGTTTATCACGCGAAAAATTCAAATCTGTCTATTTTTTTAAGGTCCAAACCCATGATAATCCTAAACGCAGCTATTTAAACTGCTTTGTTCCCCATAAAGTATTCATTCTTCGCGTGATCAGCTAATTTATATATAGTCCGTATGAGCTATTTATGCCTTTAAGATATTGTCAAGCGAACTGTAATTAAAATTGTTAATTGCTTGTGAAAGATTTTAATAAGCACTCTACGCTGACCTTGAAAGTGTGTTAAATATCAACTTTATATAGTACATATATAGATCGCATTGCATGATAAACGAATATGTGGCATTGTCTTTTTATCATATGCTCCACACTGTGGAGCACGGGTCTTGCTAATCCTCAACTCAATTTGCCCACACCACAGCCGGAGATTTTCTACAATGGCTACACGCCCAATGTGGCAACGACTCCCGCCCAGCTGAGAGCAGATCGCGATCGCAGTCAGCGCTATGGACCGCCCTATGCGGAGAGTGAAGGCGGGACCAGCGTCGATGATGGGCTGGATGACTTTAGGGTGAGTAATTAAGCATTTTTTCATTAATTGATAAAGCACTCTCTAGTCGATCTTATTTGTAGTACGGTCAGACCTATGATGAGCGCATGCGATTGGGGTACGCCTATCCCACACCTCGATTGAATTTCAGTGATCGCGTCGATGATTCACCCTTCAGTGCGGATCAGCAGGGGAATCGTGGTCAAGATAATCGCTATGCGAATCACAATTATGGACCAACATCGAGCAGCACCGAGCGCAACTATGGCAACTTTAACGATCAGCCGAATTACAATGTTTATAATCCCAATCCAAATGCTAATGCCAACTACAACAATCTGAATGATCCATATGTGAATAATGGCAATGTGGAATTTGTGGGCAACGATCGCAATCGCTTTCAGAGTCCCTATCAATCCAATCAGGATCGCTTCAACTTGAATCAGGGCTATCAGGAACGTCAGCGCTATCAGCAGGATCGTCGTTATCAGCAGGAGCTGGAAAAGTTACGCAATTTGCTAGTCGAAACGGATCAAAAGGGTTCGCTCGAGTGCACCGCCAATGTGGCGGCTCAATGGAATTTCGAGACGAACGTCAATGACTATACGCAAACGGAAGCGGTAAGCTTTGTTAGTGGGGTATGCACGTACAAGCAAATACCCTTGAAATTGTAATTGTTGTAGTTGAAATCGAGTTGCTGCGGCACGCGATCTCACAACAGCTTGAGATTGAATGTCTATGCAGCTTGGCAGCCTGCTTGAAGTGGCTAACACAACATTTACAACGAAAATATACACTCACGCACACACACACACAGACACTTGATATACACACAGTATAGTCAAGGTCGTTTGCCTGGCGAAGTTCTCAGGCCAATTTACCAATGTCAAAGTATTGCACTCTGAGACTTTTACAGCACGTTTTTGTGTCAAAACTTTATGTGATTCAAGCAAAGATGTTTCAATGTTCAAAATACATATGCCGATAACTCCAACTGGAATTCCGTGGATTTTTATTTGCAGAAAATATTTAAGGTTAAAAAGAAATTCGCATAAATAGTTTGTTTTTATATATGGTATATATGCATATGTATATATTTTTATTTCAATATTAGTGTATATTCAGCTGTTGCTTCATTTTGTTAGAGGAGCAGAATGTATAAAAGTCTTGTTAATTGAAAATAAGCTGAATATAAAATTTTCTTGAATAAACTCTTGCTTGTGTTTATTGTCTGCAAAACCCATTTGGTTAGATTAACTGACAATAAATTTCTCTTTGTATTACGAATTTCAAAAGGTTTCGAAACACAACATTAGCTTTATAAAGTTAATAAAATTTGAGATATAATGTTAAAATATATATTTTTTCAAGTCTTATCTAACTTTTAATTGTTGGTTATCTCTAGTACACCTATGGGAATTAGGGACTTTATTTTATGCTATCTTTCCATTCACATTCGATTAATTTTATTTTCATATTTTCGTAATAGCTTAAATATCGGCAGGTCGATTTTAATTACATTAATTTTCTATTTTCATAAATATTTTCTCTCAGCTCAACGCTCAACAGCGCTATGTGGAGTACCAGCGCATTACGGCCGAGCAATCGAAGCGTATTAACAAGGATCTCATATTTGATCGTCGTTTATATAGACAGCTAATGCTGCAATCTGAAGTGGGACCCAATTCGCTATCGCTGGACGTTTTGGACAGAGTAAGTGTGTCCTGTATATCAAAATGAAAATAGACTTGCATAATCTATTAATACTCTTTTTTACTCCATAGTACAATCGCTTATTGAACGAAATGCTCTTCCTGTACAACGATGCCAGCATTTGCGCTTATCAGCAGCCATTTCAATGCGATTTGCATTATATACCCCATCTCAAGGATATTATGGCTAAGAGCAGGGATTGGGATGAACTGCAGCATACCTGGGTGGAGTATCATCGCAAGGCGGGCCGTGGCATGCGCGATAACTACGAGCAATTGATTGATGTGATGCAGGATGTGGCAGCTGCAAATAGTAATTAAATTTGATTATATATACATTTTCAGAGTTTGCATTTAAGCTCGCATATTTTACAGATGTCAGCAATGGCGGCGAGTATTGGTTCTTGGCCTACGAATCGGGCAATTTCCGTCAGGATATGGACATCGTTTGGGAGCAGATACGTCCGCTCTATGAAAGTCTGCATTCGTATGTGCGTCGCAAGCTGAGGGATTACTATGGACCGGATCGTATCAATCGTATTGCACCCATACCCTCGCATATATTGGGCAATATGTACGGTCAGTCGTGGTCGAATGTGCTGGACATATTGATACCGTATCCGGGTCGCAAGCTCATCGATGTCACGCCACGCATGGTGGAGCAGGGCTATACGCCGTTGTTGATGTTTCAGCTAGCCGAGGAGTTCTTCACGTCCATCAATATGTCAGCTGTGGGACCGGAATTCTATAGGAATTCACTGTTTGAGCAGCCGCTCGATAGGCGTGTCCTATGCGAGCCATCCGCCTGGGATTTCTGCAATCGTCACGATTTTCGTGTTAAGATGTGCACGGACATCAATCAACGGAGCTTGGTTAGTGTGCATCATGAGATGGCGCATATACAATATTTTCTGCAGTATCGCCATCTGCCCAAAGTCTTTCGCAATGGCGCCAATCCGGCTTTCCACCAGGCTGTGGGCGATGCAATCGGCTTGTCCGTCTCCACGCCAAAGCATTTGCAAACTTTGGGTCTGCTGCAGCGATCGCTGGACGAGTCGAGCTATGACATTAATTATCTATTTACCATGGCTATTGACAAAGTGAGTGTGTGCATGATCAATGAATATTGTATAATATGAATATTTATTTAAATTTTTACTTCTCTGTAGGTGGCCTTTCTGCCCTTTGCCTTGTCTTTGGACAATTGGCGCTACGATGTGTTTAGCGGCAATGCGAATAAACGCGTCATGAATTGCCATTATTGGAATTTACGGTAACGCATTATGGTTTATAATTAAACAGTACTTAATTAATATTTATGTATTTGTTCATTTGCAGCGAAAAATATTCTGGCATAAAGCCGCCTGTTTTGCGCTCTGAAATGGATTTCGATGTGGGTGCGAAATACCATATACCTGCAAATATACCATACATAAAGTGAGTAGTATTTTATTTATTTTAAATTGGAGGACTATTTGAAATGCCTATATTTATATTGATGTGTGATTTTCCTTAAAAAACTTACTCTTAAAAAAGTAGAAATTTATATTTCTTTATATTATATTATTATATTTATGCTTATGTATTTATGCTTAATTAGCAAGCTTCCTATAATACTCTAAAAATTCTTCTGGGAATTTCATTCTGATTTTTAATGCAACCAGAATTACCTTTTTATATCTTTATATACCTTATATATATAATATATTATTCTCCAAATTCGTATGGTGCTCTATAGCATTTGTATTTTCTAATATTTCTAGACATTCCACTCTCCAATGTCTTTTAGCTAATTAGCTCTTGTAAACCCTTCCTGAAAATTCAAGCAATCAATCTCTTACGCATATTCCTTATGCATTCATATCTTCCTTCCATTTGAGACGCATTGATTATATAGCCAATATTGCACTACCGCACGAATTGTTCGTTTCTCTTATCTAATTTGCCACATAACGCAAATGCAGCAATTAAAACTCGCAACAAAACAAAAGCTTGTTATTAATTTTGTTATTTTCGATTACAATTTACACAGAGAGAGAGAGAGAGAGAGAGAGAGAGAGAGAGAGAGAGAGAGAGAGAGACAGCCGCACAACATTTCAAATATTTTCCGTCAAATTGGCGGCGATTACGCGTCGCAATATTCGAATTGCCAAGACATTGCAGCTCCCTCTTAGCCCGCACTCCATCACAAGTTGGCCCACTGACTGGCTTATAATGACCAATCCAGTAGAAAAACACACACACAAATACACATACATACACATACACACGCACTCACATATGTTTATTGGCGGGGCGGTAAAGATTGAAAGAAAGAAAAACTCGCATGTCGACGAATATTTCCCGCATTCACTTTCCACATGGCTGCTGCCAAAAGCGGCTCTGGCTTGGCTTTGGCTCTGACATCATTTAAATAAAGCCACAAATAGTAACTGTTACGAAAAATAACACACACACACACATGCACATATCGCACCACTTGTTTTTTTTTTTTTTTTTTTTATAGTGTATATGCAGGTCGTTCGATTGTCTGGCCTAGAGTGACCCACAAAAGTCCAAGAAAATAACAAACAAAAAAAAAAAAAAGCAGCTAATTTTTCCTGGGGCATGCAAATGCCAATTTTCGGTGTGCCACAAAAGCGAAACGCCGCATGGTGCAATGGATGGCACCACCAGCACCACCACCCAAGAAAATGGCGGTGTCAATGACTGCCCATTAGCGTTGACCATGCCGGAGCCAATGCTTTGTGCGGTTTTCATTTGTTTTCTTTTTATTTGTATTTTTTGTGGTCTTTTATTGTACGTCCATTTAAATGTGAGACAAGGCGTTGACTATTATGACAACCACCAGACAGCCAGCTAGTCAGCCAGCCAGCAGTGGTGCAGCGGTTGCGTAACTTACCTTTTGGCAAACCACCATGGCTGGCCTGGTTGGGCATTTGTCAACGTTTTAAAGGGCTTCTCTCAAGGTTGAGCAGGTTGTATAAGGGAGCTCTCAAAAACAGCATAGATAGATTCTTGAATTATTTTTTAGCTGAGTTACAGAATATTTCATATTCAAATACTATTCATATTTAATTTTCTTACATATTAAAAATATGTATATTAAATATAAATAGTATGGATAAATATATACTTGGCATATTTTTATTATTTTTGATTATAAATTGTATGGTACAAAAAAATATAAAATTTTGAATAACGAATTTACTTTTTTCTCCTTCTTTTTTATTCTTTATATTTTGTTGTTTAATTTTTTGTAGGATTTATTTTTCTAAAGTATATTTTTCGCCGTTTTTACCTTATAAAATTATTTTTTTTTCCAATATTTGATTAAGTTTATTTTAATTTTGTTAAATTAATTTTGGCTTTGTTATTTGAATGCGAGTAAATGCGATAGTAAATATATAGTAATATGTATATCTGACTCCCTTTCGGTCCATGTGAATTTTTAAACATATATTCCTGCATACTATATTGAGACTAGTTTTATAATTTTCTATAATTTCTCCCATTTATCCTTTGTACAAATTAATCGGTAGCTTTACTTCGCTTTATCCTTTACATTTAGCCGAATAATCTGATTTGGGTCGTTACTTGAATCTAGCTGAGAGCTCGAATACAAATAGCTTGATCTTTTATAGGCCAACATTTTGATGTGAGCCCGCAAAGAGTTAACTCAAAAAGCCATTAGCCAGATTTTATTGCTGGCCATTCTATTCAGGCGAAAGATTACAAAACAACAGCAGCAGCAGCAATCGGCAGGTAGGCAGGCACTGGCTATTGTATGTTGATTATTTATTGCATGATCCATAAACTGCAAATGCTACAGTTAGAGTTACAGTTACATAAACAAAAGCTACCACTAACTGATATATCCACAACTAACCACCAAGAGAGCTAGCCTCAATATGGTAATAAAACGGAGCCAGAGTCCGGCTTTAGCTAAATGTCTGAACGATCTCTGAACACTTTTCATTTCGCTTTGGTTTCACAACACGTTTTGCATGTGCGCTTTTGTCTCAAATATCGGTTAGGAGCACATGTCCTACAAACCGACTAAGGAAAACGTGATAAATCTATGGCCCACTTAGTTTGCCTGGAAATTGCAGCAGCTTTGCAGCTTCAATGAAACCGAAATGCAAATTGAAACCTAATCTTTAGATATACATACATACAAACATATAATTGTCTATATATATAGCGCCAACACAGCCAAAGACATGCCTGCCGCAGACCTTATTTAAAGTTGATAGTTGCCAAAGACAAGACGAGCAGTTACCCTGTAATTTATTGGTTAGGTAACTTTCTATAAATCTTTAATGTTAATAAAAGCAAGAGAAATAAAGAGTGAGAAAACAGAAAATGAAAATATAAAATTGGAGATGGATTAACTTCTTAAAAGAAATCATATTGCAATTTTAAGTGTTTGTAATTTAATATATTTTTGATTTTCTTGTTGAATATCTTAGAATATCTATCATTAAGCATAATCCTTATAATTCATTCATAACTATATACCCACTACGGCTACTTAGACTACAGGGTATCACAATAACCACACACAAATCGGTGGACGGTGCTAATAAAAAGTAATGCCTGGCCACAAAATAAACGCTAGGAAATGGACGCGAGTGCCGTCAGCGAGTTGTCGTTGTTGCTGTTGTTATTGTGGCCGTTGTTGTTGCTGTTTTCGTTGCTGTGGCATGGAAAAGCGTAATGATAAAAACATAGTGTGGCAAATGTAATAATAAACATGTTGATCACCCTCTCAGTGGGCGCTGCTAGACACTTTGAATATGCAATTATGAATGCCAGGCACTGTTTACCCCATTTTGAAAATTAGATAAACCAAACGGCTGTATACGGCGAAATGACTTGATAACAGTGCAGTGCAGTGCAGTGCATTATAATGCACAATTTCGTTAACCTGTTGAGCAAGTCACTGAGTTAGGTCTATGTTAAGCGAGGTTTGGTTGGAGTTGGCTGATGGTTGGGGAGAATAAATGTAGGGGAAAATCCAAACTTAAGACATGTTTAATGAAATCAATTTTAAATATAAATTAATAAGTCAAAAAAAAAAATAAAAAAAATTTAATTTCTCGAATAATAGTTAATTCTATTTTTAAAGATTTGTCAATCGAAATAAACATTATTTTTATGCATTCTACAATAACAAATTAAATTTGTATTGAAATTATAGAATTTTCTTCAAAGAATTATATAATTCATATAATATTTATAATATTATATTTTATAATTTATATTATATGCCCATTATTGTTTATTATTTTTGTGTTTTCTTTAAATTTGTATTTCTACATTTGATCTTACATATACTTCTTTTTTTTATAACTTATTCAATTTCTTTTTTAAATTTTTTATGTTTTTGTTTTAATTTTTTATAAAGATTAATTTGTAATTTTTAATTTTTTTTTATTGATGGTATTATATTTTTCAAAATGTTTTTTTTTGCCGGGCTTTATTTTTATTTTTTTTTTTGTTTTTTAATGAAAGAAAAGAGCGGTTTGGTTTTAGTTTTGATCACTTGATTCTTCTCGTTTTTTATTGTTAACATATTCATCAGCTTCATTGATTTTTTGTTGTTGTTGATGGTCGGTTGTGTATTTGTTTTTACAGAGACAAAAAATAGTATTTGGTAAATTAAGTACTTTTTATAAATCGGTTTCGACAGCTTTTTACATTTAGCAAAACTATAGATAGTGGTTGTTTAGGTTGCATTAAAAACTATATAGCAAAGAATATTATAAAAATAATACAATACGTTCGTTTACAAACTGACTTAATTAGGCGACTGCACGGCTGCCTGCCTGCCTTAACTATCTTTTATATATATAGATATTATATATATACGAGTATATTAATATGCATAGCTAGAGTAAACACTTAAACACTATAACAGAAGTCTTATCACACGCTTATCAGATCTCTAATATCATATCGAGTCGAACAGAACCGGGTGCACAGTTTGGATGGACCAGAGCAGAAGGAGGAGTAGCCGCAGCTGGAGGACAAAAACAGCAGCAGCAACCACATCGTCAGATGTTGTACCCAGTTATATCATTCGCGATCGAGTGAGAGAGAGAGTGACAGCCAAGTCCAACAACACATCCAATATATATACGATCCTGATGAGAGGTTGTTATATGTGGTGTATGTGTTGTTGTGGTTGTTGTTTTAGGGTCTAGTTTCATTAACTTTCTCTTAGTCGTTGTTCTGAGTGGATGTGTTTGGGGGCGAGCCCAAATGTGTTGTATCTTTTTGTTTTGTTTCTTAAAGTCTAAGTCTAATCGTCTTCAAAATTTCTCATAACAGATCTCACGGGATAGTTTCGTCAACGTTTCTTGGGTTTTCCTTTTGTTTTTATGGCTTAAGCTAAGGTTCGTTCATAAAATCTAAGTAAGTTCGTTTCGTGTCACATTTTGTTCACATTGTAAATTTTAGGGTTTCAAAGAATCTCTATCATTATCACGTTCTATATAGCAATTGTGGAATTGGAATGTTGGGCATTTGGGTATATGATATGGAAGAACTTTGTTTTGGATTGTTACTGAATGTTTGTGAATGTTTTTAGTTTAGTTTTTCTTTTTTTTTGTTCAGTTTAGCTATATATCCATTCTCATAACCGTTACCGTTCATAACCGATATTCTCAATGCTGCAAAGAGAGTGAAAAGAGAGAGAGAGAGAGAGAGAGAAAAGAGAAAAATGTTCATTTCACCAATTTTAGTAACCGTGATATGAATGATAATCATGATAGTCATTAAAATCATGCTGCACCTCATGCTCTTCATGATGATGCTCCTCAATGGGTGCCGAATATGATGAATGATGGATGGGCTCATGATGCTGTTCCTGGTGATGATAATGATGATCCTCCTCAATGTGCTTGTGCACAAACTCGGGCTCCTTGTAGCTGACGTGCTTCTCATGATACTCGGGCACATGCTTCTCAATGTGCACATGAACGGGCTTCTCCACGGGCACCTTGACGGGGTACGGAACGTGTTTCTCAACCTTAACGGGCACTTCCTTGATCACTGGGTAGGGTGCGGGCACATGAACTTTCACCTCATAGGGCACTGGCTTCTCAACATGAACGGGCACGGGACGATCATAGGGCACATGGACGGGCACTGGGACCTTCTTGATCACAGGCACTGGCACTGGTTTGTCCACATAGTGGGGCACTGGCTTGTCCACATAGTGGGGTACGGGCTTCTCAACGGGCACCTTGACTGGGTAGTGGACGACCTTTTCGACGGGGTACGGCTTCTCGACAGGCACGTGCTTCTCTACCTTGTAGTGCACGATCTTTTCGACGGGGTAGGGAGCGGGCACATGTACCTTGACTGGCACATGGACCTTCTTCTCAACGGGGTAGGGTGCGGGCACATGTACCTAGAGGGGAGTTATAGAACGGTCTTTAGATTATCTCTAAAAGTCTAGTTAGCACCCAACTGCAATACCTTGACGGGCACTGGACGATCGTAGGGCACATGGACGGGGTAGGGTATCTTCTTTTCGACGGGATATGGCGCTGGTACTTCGTAGGGCACCTTCACGATCTCCTTAACCTCATAGGGCACGTGCTTGATAACGGGATATGGCTTGGGCACCTTGACTTTGACGGGCACATGAACGTGCTTCTCCACTGGCACATGGACAATCTTTTCGACGGGATATGGCGCTGGTACCTTCTTGATCACGGTGAGTGTCTTCTCCTCATGCACCGGGAAGTGCGGCACATGATGATGATGGTAATCCTCATAATGATGCAGGCCACGTTTCGATTTGGTGGTATCATCAGCGGCTGCTGCTGATTCCTCAGCCTTTTTCTCTGACGGCTCAGCTGCTGTCTTCTCGGCAGCCTCGCTCTTCTCCTCGCCAGCCTGGGCGTAACTGGTGGCCAGGAGCAGCACCAGAGCCAGCGTTGTCGCTGTACGCTATGGTGAGAGGGAAATAAAAGGGGTTCGGAACATGAGGAAATGTCTGCTAAGAATTGAATTGAACTGAACGAGGTCTACATGTTGAAAGTGTTTAGCTGAAGCTTGAACTGCTCGTTGACTTGTTGGAAAGTTGTAATATTTTTTGAGAAGATTTCTAATATATTTCCTGCAGTGTACATTTGTGTATTATTTTTTTTTTATTCCAATGTTTTAGTATCCAGAATTTTGTAAAAAAGATTTTTGCTTGAATTGAAAGATTTCTAAAACTTTTCCTTAGTTTTATTTGAGTAGCGAATATATTTTAGAGTTCCTGTTTTTTAAATTATGGAAAGGAAAAGCGTTTAAGTTTTCTTAACTGTAAATATTATGAATAGTATACGTTTCCTTATCTTATGCCTTTTTATTTATGACAATAGAAATATAAAGATTTTTTGGCTTGCATTAATTTGAAAATTGAAGAATATTTTGTATTCAAAACTAGATTCTGTAGCCGAATTTACACAGAAGGTTAAGACTCTCTCGATTTTTGCTGATTAAATATGTAGGTCAAATTTTTTGAAACACTTCACAACACTGCACACGCTGATCCTTTTGTACCTACCATCAACTTCATGATGTTGACGTTAAATATCCTTGTCGAGGATTATTGCTTATCCGTCGAACTGTGAACCGAACTGTGCCCGAACGATTGAAATCGTATTGCGATTGAGATTTCGTTAATTATGGAAAGATTATGGAAGGATTCTCTCTATGCACCAAACTCTGTTACACGTTCCGTACCACTCCACACTGTTCGATGGTTAACGGTTTAATGATGCCCACTGCAGTGCCAGCCCGAACTTTTATACTCTAACTAACAGTCAAAAAGGCAAAACGAATGAATGTAACGAAGACAACGACGACGAACACTGTAAGCCCGAAGTCTAGCAACAGCAACAACAACAGCAGCAACAGCAACCGCAACAATAATACTATATACTATAGCATAATCATAATCGCAATCGCCCCAAAACACATGCAGCGAATGGTGAATGGTTCGTTCGGCCAGAGTCGATTTGAGTTGCTTGTTTGGTTTATTTTTTCCTCTTTATTTTTTATTTTTGTATTTTTTGTTGTGTTTTGCTTTTTTCGGAGGCGCGAACTCGAAGCAGCCAAGTGGCAAGCGGCGCTGAAATGCAGCAGTTGCAATCAGAGACTTGGCGGCAAGGTGAGAGAGGCTGGTTTGAAGGGGGAGGAGAAGCAGGAGGTGGTAGAGGAGGTGGACGCGGGCACAGTTAGCTTTATGGATGCGTGCCATTTTGCTGTTTAATTCGACTACCGACAGCTGCTACTTGCTGTTGCTGTTGTTGTTGTTGTTGCTGCTTTGGTAGTTTCTCAAGTCGTTTACAACAATAAAAACTCACATTTATTTGTGGGCAATTGAATAAGACCCGCAATGCGAGAAAACTACAAAAATAGCAGAAAATGTTATGATAATTAAATTAAAAATATATAATAATATTGTTAAGTTAGAATTGTTAAAAGTTTTTTATTAGGAAATGGAAAGTGGATTTTAGTGCTCTAAAAATGTAGATTTAAAATTATCGAAATTAATTTTGCTGTCAGTCATTAGAGAATTGTCTTTCTTCTGACCTACTTTTCCTATATGAATTATAATTCTATGTATTATCTCTTGAATATTTTTGCATAATGAATTTAGCTTTTAAATATTGCATGCTATATATGCATATATAGATAGCTATTATATTTGTCTAAGATCTCTGCATAAATTAGATCATAGGACAAATTAATAAAATTCATGCATTGGAAAAGATGAAAAAGCAAAAGGTTTTTTTTGAATGTGAATATTATATATATGCATATATCTAGAGATACTTTATGAATATTTTTCGTCAGCAAGAGATGAAAATCTGTGATATATTGTATATCACATTTTCTAATCGAAAATTAAATGCAAGCAAGGGAAAATATTAATAAAAAAAGTTTTTTTTGTATATTTATTATATATATTAAACTTAACTAAGAATACTTTTTAGCATTATGAAGTCCGAAGCATCAAAGTAGAGTTACATGTGTATAGCTAGCAGGAGTTGAAAATCTGCAATATGTGTATATGTATTTGTTATCGCTTTTGTTTTTGTTTCTTTATTTAAATTTTTTTTTTTAACACGAGCTTTAATAGTAATAAAACAACGAAAGTCTATTTAAATATCAATAAAGCGGGCTTTGTTGAATAAAAAATTGACATCAGGAGCTTATGTATGGAAGGTATTCCAATAGAGTTAGAAATAACTTGAAATATATCAAAAGAAATCGAAATCAGCGTAAAATGATATCCAATGGAGTAATATATATGTATATGTGGGCTTTAATATATTTTGGGGCTTCACTGTAGCTTGTCTCGAGCTCAACTCTATCAGTTCTTTTTTATTTTTATTTATTTATTTTTTTTTTTTTGGCGCGCCCAAGCTACTGATGCATCACGAATGCAGCCTGTCATCTGTCATCTGGGCGAACTCCAAATTCAATTTCAATTGCAATTTCAATTGTCTTTAATGCTGCAATCCTTTTACTTTCGCATTTGCAAGCCACCTTCACTTGACCAGCTGGCCAAAAATTATGAGAAAGCGTTTGCCCAAATGAGAGCGAGACCGAGAGTGAGAGTGAGAGCGAGAGCGAGAGTGGAAGAGTGTGTCACTCGGTCATTTGACTGTGTTTCTGTTGTGTCACATATGCGAATGTATGACTATGTGGTCAGCAACCATAACCTAACCCACTGACAACATGTTTGGGGCAACACATGCGCAACTCGTTTCAATTTCAGATTGTGGGTCGCTGTAATTGACGCCCCAGTTGTGTGTCGCCGACAGAGTTTAAAGTCTTACTTTGGTTACCTTCCTCGTTATTATGTCAATGGGTCTCACATGCCGTGCTGTGCGGCATGTCTGAGAAGCGGAGAGAGAGGCGCGCCGTGCGAGTGGCACAGCTGTTACGAGAGGATCGGCTCAGATACCCATTAAAATGTTGTCGTATGGAGTGTATATTTTGTGTTGGTGGGAGAGTAAAGGAGCTAACAGTGAGTAAAATTTATATATGTCTGATTCTATACGAAAATGATATATTGAACTTTTATCAGATATTTAATTTTTGTTGTGGCACAAAATCTATAATATCAATCTAGTTGCAATTTCTAAAATATTTTAAAGAAATTTTATCGATAAAAGCCTCTTATTAATGTAAAATTAATGTTTTGTTTATTATTTTGGTATTTTGTATTAGAATTGTATGTAATATATAACTAAAAGTTTAATTAACTACTCTCTGCTGTTTCTAGTCTTTGGCTTGCAGGGTATCTGCTCGTCATGGCTGCTCATGGCTGCTTGTTGCATGCAACTTTCGATTTAGTTTCAGTCGCATTGCTCGCATGTCTTGACCACATATTGTAGTTCGATATTCCTGCAACAAGTCGCAACTAAAGAGAGAGAGAAGGAGAGAGAGAGAGGCACATTAGGTGAGCGATGTTGAGAGTGAAAGAAAGAAAGAGAGAGATAGAGAAAGAGTCAGTCGGCGAGAGAGCAATTGGAGGCTGCCGTTAGACGTGCCGCATCTTATGTCATAAGCTCGCATGGGGGCACCAAGTGTTTGTTTGTCTGCCTATTGATAGACAGCAGCGAGTGCTTATAAGCGTCATTGTCTTAATTCCAACATCACAATTACACACGCTTCCTTGAATTAATTACAAGCTTTACGTAGATATAAATAGATATACATATGTATTTATTGCACATAAATAAATATATATGTATCTATACATACTACATATATAAATATTTCTATATCGATACATCTTTTATTTTCACAAATATTATTTTTGATCATTGTCAGATTTGAAAGCGTCACGCGACCTGACCTTGTCTTATATCTTTATGCACTTACGCCTTATAGGCGGCTTTGCATAAATTATTACGAATGCTTGTATGCCGATTCGTTTAGTTTATATATCTTTATTGTCAACAATAGACTCAAATGCGAGACAGGTGTCGATTAATCATATATATATACATATACGTTTTTTTTTATATTTATTGTCGGCATCTTCACAAATCTCATTAACATTTTCCAATTTATTTTCAACGCTGATTTGTGTAACAATTAATTGTCTTTTGGCAAGTGTTTGGTCGCCATTTGACATTCCATTTCCATATCGTACCAATTGCAGGCAGCTCATCTCTCGCACGAGGCTAAGCCCGAGGCACAAACCTGACAGTTATGACATTTTATGTGACATGAACAATACTCTTTTCTTTAAGCTGTAACGGTTCCAGTTTATTTTTTTGGTAGTTCCCATGTTTTATTTTTTTTTTTTGTTTATTTTTTTTTCGTTTTTTTTTTTGATCCTTTTCCTCTTTTTTTTTTGTAATGGTCGCCGACGCGGCGCGTTGAGGGTTCATTGCGTTTCTGGTCAAGGTCGTTCGGCGTTCAGTTCAGTTGTTGCGGTTAGTTAGCCAAGCTAACTGTCTGGCAGAGTGCCCAAGTAACTGTGACTGCGTCTGCGACTTGGTATGCATTGTGTGTTTGGCAGCTTTTATTTTTAATTTTTGGCAAGTAATGGGAAAAATCGAGACCACTTTTACATATGCCTCATAATCATGAAATGCATTAAAATAAATAGCGTGCACAAAAAGAAGACGAAATACCTTTAAATAGATAAAAAGCAATGCGATTTATTTTGATAGTCATGATGGATATTTATTCATCTATATTTGTATATACATAGTTAGCAAAATATATAGATATAATAATAAACATTTAAGTATATTTATATGTTTTTATAGGAGATCAGATATGCTTCTTCTTTGATATCCCATTGTGAATGGGTTCAGTCATGACACTTTCATAGGATTGTTTCACCTCCAACGAATTTTGATGCTCATCCTTTCGAACAGCGAATATCAGTTTTACTCATGGTTCCATACATATAATTCTTCTAGAAAGATCTATATATAATATAGTTGCAATCGTGCTTCTTTGTGTTAAGTTTTAATATTAAATATAACCACAAATATTTTTTAGAAAATTGCTAGCATAGATTTATGTCTTTTGTTCCTCCATTCAAGCTGGAAATATGCAGCAATCTAGAAGTTATAAAAATAGATAACAATGTATAACAATCGTATAAAGTGTAGACATGCCAATTTTTTCCTATATAACATAAACTGAAGTATATTAAATTGTAAAATCTAGTAAATCAATTGTGAAATTTGATAATAATATTATTGTTCGGAAGATCATCAACATTTGTAAATAGAGTTGCACCAAGTATTACCATTTGCTCAATCTGATTTGGCGTTTAATTGTAATGCCTTGTACTTAACTGCTTGCCTCGCAATTAGTGAGCCGAGAGAAACCTGTTAGCCCAAATGGGTTTGCAGCAAGTTAACTGCAGTCTCGGCCCTTTCAATCGGTTTCCCTTTCATGACATTGAGGCAAGTAAAAGCCCGCTCGTTGATTTGATTTGAAAGTGATAATCATCATGGCAATTGAATTGTTAGCTGCAGCTGCCAAGCCAGCCGCACTCTCCGCCTCCCTCGCTCGACACGTAGCGGCCAGAAAAGAGGTCAATGGCAAAAGCATTTGAACTCTTGTGGTGTGGCGCGTCTTTCAAACTAAATTTTGTTTTGTTGATGTCTTCGTTTGCTTGTTTTGTTGGTTTTTGTTTGTGAGCATCTCGGATTATGCGGTTTACTTGGCAAAATTGTCACGCACCGTTGAATGCTGTGCCCAATTGAGCCGCTTGCATGGAGGCGTGGCAGTTGAACAGGTGCTTGCACTTAATCAAGCTGTGGCTTTGGTCAATTGATTGTCTCTTCAGGCTTTGCCACTGTTAAATAAGGAAATGGCCAACGGCCACTGGCCCACAGAGCGCAACTGCAAATCTATGCAAATCTTTCGCGAGCCAGAAAAACCAGTCAAAAAAAGCAACAAGAAAGCAAAAGTTAACAAAAAACGAGAAAAACAATTTATTAACATAATAAGTAATTCCGCCTCCGGAGCTGGTGCAGCTGTTCGGTGTGTAACAGATACGGCGGCCTGTAGTTTTCTGGGTTTTTCTTGACCCATTGACATACTCCTCATGTAATTTGCATACAAAATAATACTGTAAATTAGAAGAAAAACTCAGATTTTGATCGCGCTTGTCCTCATTTCGGCTTTGTTTATGTTTCTGTTCATTTGCAGATCTCTAATTATTTTATAGTCATTTCTGTCTTATTGAGGGCGATTTTAAGCTCATAATTACAACAAACAGCTACACAGTTGGCAATCAAATACTAGGCATTGCTGTAGCTGCTCTTGTTGTTGTTTCTACGAGTGTAAATTGCGTAAATTGTATAAATATTATGCTATGCAGTCGAGTCTAGTTGTACATTTTGTAGCCTTTGTTTCGGAGTTGTATTTCTCTTCTTTTTTTTTTTTTTTTGTTTTTTTCTTTTTTGTTGCTGCTGCTTTCGGCCGCACTGAGGCGTACATAAATTTGATTTTGGGTTTGTAGCAACAAGAGAGTCAGTTGAAAACTAAGTTGAATCTGCCTTAAAGATACTCAAGTGAATTTAGAGTCATATAGTGCAAGAGAAGCCAACAAGGAAATTACGGAGTAATTTTTTTTTTTTTTTTTTTAAATCTTTATTCATTAGGAAGCACCAGAGCATCTTTTTGCTCTATTATCCCCCTTGAGACATGTTTACAAGCACAGGTTTAGCTTATGTACAAAACTTAAACATATATTAGGAGTAAATTATTTATTTAGGCGGTTGCTCTTGGCGGCGACTCCCTAAACTTGCACACCGTACCTCCAGATTGGCGTGATGACATGCGTTAATATCTTGCGCTTATTGGCCAGGGATAGCTTGCTTTTGCTGTGTAGCATCAGGACATCTACTTGAGGCGGGTGCAGCAGGTGCCTGCGATTGCCAGAATGTGTAATTTTAAAAACATAAAATCTTTTGTTTTTTTTTTTTTAAATTGCTGAAGGAAATGAAAATTGAAGGAAATGAAAATTTTATGAAATGTATATTTTAATAAAAATATAAATAAAAAAATATTATATTACAATATATTCATATTCACCCAACATTTCTTCTCTGAGCTTCCAACTTTTCAAGCAACCCATGGTAGTTAAGCACATAAATACAAATATATAGAGCGCACTGTAATTAGGCAGTACTAAAATGTTCGTAAATTAACAAAGGCGCAAATAAAACATAAAATAATTAAGCAATCGCTCAAGTCGCTGCAACAAATAAAACATTTTCAACGATTTTGAATAGAAGACATGAAAAACTAAAGAAAAATTGCCAAACAACAACACACGCCACACTCTACTCCACTTTACTTCACTTCACTTCACTTCACTCAGAATGTGTGTTAACTGTCCCATTATTTACAAAGCGTTTGGACATAAATATAGCTAATTATACAGCAATAGACATGCAGCAAATTTATGGCTTTTCCTATGTCAAAAAAAAAAAAAAAAAAAAAAAAAAAACACAAAAAACACTTCCTTCACGTCGACCAAAAATGAAATAAAAAATTGTAATACATTATAAATGCATTAAAATTGGCAGAGAGCTCGAAATAGGAAAAAAAATAAAATTAAACAGGCCGACGGACCGAAATATTAAGAAGAAATACTGCTAACGAGTGTCTATAATTGAAATCAATAAAGTGGACAAATTACGCAAAATATGTAAAGTGCTCTGTGGACAGCACGAAATGAGAAAAAACATATAAATTGTTGTGTAGCACCACATAAAAATGATAATCAATATATGAGTTTAAGTTGAGATATGCTGATAAAACAAAAGAAGTAAAGTAAAAAAATGTTAAAACAACACGTTTTATAATATATAATATATAGATAATAATGATAATAAAAATAAATAAGAAATATAAAATTAAAATAAATAAACATATAAAAAAAAGTGAAGACTAGAAAGAGACACCAATAAATTTATTTAACTTGTATTATTGTATAAAGGAAGAAGAATTGAAACAATTTGCTTTTATCATAATTATTATTATTTTAATAGATTAATATAATATTATACTAACTAGCAAATCATATATATATATATATATATATATATTATCTTAAGCTATGCGTAATTGTACTCTCATAGGCTTGTATGTCTAATTTCTATTGGCCAAACTGCATTTAACAATTTGCAAGAAAAGCACCGTTGATAAATGTTGATAAATTACAGCTGGCTTTTATTTTGAGGCATGCCGTCTCTGTCTGGAGCACAGGCAGCTATTGCAACACATTTGTGTTTTGGAAAAATTTCTTTGCAACCGAAAAGTTGCCGCAAAAGAAATTGCAAGTCAATTACCGTTAGTAGACGGTCTGGTTGGCGCCATGACGCAATAGCCACATGTGGCAGCACGACGCCAACAGCAACGCTGGCGTCAAAGTCGACGTCATCGCATAGCGCTAATTGATTGCGGCTGCGCGTCTCAGTTTGTTGCATTCACTTTGCTTTAGCTTTGGCTTTCGTTGCTTTTGTTGTTTTCTGGCTTTTTTTTTTTGGGTCGTGCCATTCTCCGTTGCCACATGCCACACACAGGCACGCACACACACACACAAGAAACATTCATACACACTTGCAACGGAGTTCAATTCCAGCTGGCCTAGCACAAGATCAATGCTGTGCGTTGGTCAACAGAGCCAACAGGTTCTGTCAAACGAAATGAAAGACTTAGGCAACGAACTTGAAATATTTTTTTGCTCGACTTTTTTTTATTTTATTTTGTTTCTTTTTTTTTTTTTTTTTTCTGGCGTATCCAATTTGTCATTACAATTAATTATGCTACATTTGGGCGTTGAGCGGTATTTAAAGTCAATGCTCATAACTGCACTAAAGCTTGCATAATCTTCATGCTTTTCGCATGACTGAAGTGGCGCCGGATTATATGTCCGAAAGCTACGTGATCGTGTGCGTAAGAAGGTAGACCAGTTTTTGTTTCTGCTTTTTGCTTGTTTTTTTTTTTACTCATTTAAGTGGAATGAGTATATTGAGTGAGTATATTGGTTTAGTGGGGTAGACTTTTTGATGTCCGTCCGCCTGTCCAATCCAATGGCAAATCAGGAAATTACATTTCTGATATAAAACTAAGGTGCTAAGACTTAAAATTGGGAATACTTACTCGAGTTGTATTAATTTTAATTACTTTTTTAACACAATTGTAGTGAAATAAGTTTGTGGCATTTTAATGTTTATACAAGAAATTATTATTATTTTTTATTTTTATAAATTAAATCCCCATCATCGATTTTTCAAAAGATGAACTAATTTTTAATTTTTTATGCAATTATTTATTGTCATTATTATCTTTTTTTTTTATAAATTTGTCTTTTGTTTTTATAAATTGAATTATGCAATTCCTTGTTTGATTTAAAAAAAGGCGAGATAAGAACTTACACTTAGACAGATTATACAATAATATTTGATAACATTTTTAAAGAAAATATTTTTAAAAATTTTGGGTTTTAATTATTGTTATTTTTGAGCCGTGTAAGCGTCATGTTATTATCTGCATCGTAACCAATTGAAATGGCTTCATAACCGGGCAGACAATCACAGACATTAGGCGCCACGCATTTGCCATAGATGGAGCAGCTGCGCACGCAGTGTGGCATGCAATCAAATCCCTTTTCTCCTTTGGCCTTGGGCAGTTTGACGTAGCCCAAATCGCATTCCCACATGTAAGGATTAATGCAGGTACTGTGCTCTGGTTTGTTTTGCTCCGAGCATTCTGGGACACAGAGATCGCTTCCTGATCTCTGAACGAAGCCCTTGCGGCAAACACATTTATTTGGTGCTTGGCAATGACTGTTCGCATCACAATCGGGCTCGCACACGGGCTTGCAGAGCTTTTCACCATCGTTCTTGGCGTAGCCAGGGCAGCAGAAGGTCTCGATTTTTTTCGACTATTCAAATTTGATATGAAGAATCTTGAAATGCTTAGCAATATACTTGTTCATTTACTTACGAACAGATCCATGGGAAATGTGAGATTAAAACTTGTTGAGGAACCATTTGTCATTTTTTTGCACATTTATCATTTTTTAGCATATTTGTCATTTTTTAGTATAATTTGTAGCTTTCATTATTATCGGCGAATGAAGAGCCGCATCGAGATCAATTATCGGTTAAGTCGATAAACTTATGTTAGTATTCAGTAAGCAAACGAACGGACAAGTTGAGCGTACCAGCAATTGGCTGTTATAGTTCATATAAAATAAAGAAATGTTTAATTATTCATCATAAATTTGGTCCTTCGAGCCGGATCCGTTGGGCATTGCTACTGAATGTTCACTTGGAGTTGTTGGAAACAGCACGCACTATTGGAAAAGTGACGTGTTTTGTCTTGTATTGTATTTGCTGCTGGAGACGCAGCATTTGCAAATTCTTGAAATTACGTATCGATATTTGGCATCATACGTAATAAACAGCACGCACTATTGGAAAAGTGACGTGTTTTGTCTTGTCGTGTTTTTGCTGCTGGAGACGCAGCAATTGCAAATTCTTGGAATTACGTATCGATATTTGGCATCATACGTAATACGCAATACGCACTATTGGAAAAGTGACGTGTTTTGTCTTGTCGTGTTTTTGCTGCTGGAGACGCAGCAATTGCAAATTCTTGGAATTACGTATCGATATTTGGCATCATACGTAATACGCAGTACGCACTATTGGAAAAGTGCGGTGATTTGTCGTAATGGTTTGTTTGGCTGCTAGAGACGCAGCAATTTCATCACATTAATTTAATACCTGGCTATTTTGGACAACTTGGATTGACTGCTGGCAACGCAGCAAGCTACAATGGAAAATCTACGTACATTACTGGGAGCCAGAGGTAGATTGAAGGCAACAATTACTCGTATTTCTGGATATGCGGAGCATCCACCTGAGGGCTGCACCTTCTACGATATTGATACAAAATTGGACACGCTGGTTCAAGCTTGGAAGCAGTTTCTCAACCTTGGTGACGAACTTTATAAATATGAAGATGTGCAGGGATACGTGGATCCAGCAAGTGACAACAATGTATATGAGGAGCGCTTTGAACGAGCTTGTGCTCTTCTTAAGACACTGCACGCTGAGTACAAACCCCACAAACTGGAAGAAGCCAATACCACATCTAATGTGCTTGGGGAAGTAGATAATTCGCCCATCCAAGGCATTTTACAACAAATACAGCAACAGTCTCATATACAAATACAACAATTACAGCAACAGTCTCAGATGCAAATGCAACAAATGCAGCAGATGCAAATGGAGACTATGGAGGCCTTAATGCAACGACTGCTACCACGGCAGGTGGATAACGAGTCACCGTCAGGCTCACAGCAAGGCGCAGGACCATCAGTGAAGGATTGGGAACTGCCACGGATTCATATCACACCATTTGATGGAGATTATAAGGAATGGCACGCATTTAAGGGTCTATTCGACAGTGCCGTTCACAGCAAGACAACGTTGACGAATATCCAGAAGTATCATCACTTAAAATCTTGTTTAAAAGGAGAAGCTGCGAAACTTATTCAGCATCTGCCCTTAGCCGATGCCAACTATGAAATAGCTTGGAATTCATTAGTTGATCGGTACGAGAAGCCTCGCTATTTGGTAAACGTGTTGCTGGATACATTTACTGGACTGCCCAAGGTTGCGGATCAAAACCCAGCATCGCTTCGATCGCTAACAAACGAAGCTGGTACCGTAATTCGGGCATTAGACGCCTCTGGACAAACGGATCGGGATTGTTGGCTGATTTACTTGCTCATGGCAAAGGTTGATGACACCACACGTCGTGAATGGTACGAAAAGAGTCAAGATATAGCAAATCCTACGATAACGCAGTTGCTCAAGTTCCTGGATGCACGTTGTGATCGGCTGGAGCTCAGTCAATCTGCAACTACGACAAGCAGCAAGCCTAGACAGGACAGAGGTACCAGGAACGCACATGCGCTACTCGCCACTTCAGAGCGCTGTGCAAAGTGCAACAAGGAACACGCATTGATGGCATGTACACAATTTTTTGGATTTATCTATTCAGCAGCGATATGCCTTTGCAAAGTCCAAACACATGTGCTTTAATTGTTTGAGACTTGGCCATGGAGTGAACGCTTGCACATCGAAGTCATCTTGTAAGCATTGCAAGCGCCGACATCACTCACTCTTGCACTTCGACCAACGTAACACTAAGGACAAGGATGACCCACAGCAACATCAGCAGGATGATTCAAATGAGGCACCAGGTGCTAGCACAGTAGTAGCACTGACGAACGCCGTTAATACTTCAAAAGGTGGCAAGGGTGCAAATATGAGAAGTACACTGCCAACGGCGCAGGTGTATGTGCGCAATTCTCGAGGACAAGACGTTGTTTGCCGCATATTGTTGGACTGCGGCTCGGAGTTGTCCTACGTTTCGGAACGGTGTATCCAGACATTGGGTCTGGCCCGTTCACACTCTCGCATCTCTATATCTGGAATATCATCAATCAAGGCAGAAACAACAAGAGGGCTCTGTTCACTACATATCAAGTCGCGAGTGTCAGATGCATCTCTTGTGGTCAAGGCACACGTGCTTGGAAACATTACTTCGACACTGATGAGAGAAACTATAAATGCAGCAGACCTCTCTATGTTTAGCGGCCACACCCTGGCAGACGCCGCATTTAATACCAACGCTTCAATCGACATTTTGCTTGGTAACGATCACATTTGGACGGTTCTTACTGGAGATAAGCTGTGTAATCTTCAGGGGAACACAATTGCTATTGATTCAATATTTGGATGGATCATCACATCAGTGGCAGGAGCGTGTACAACCACAACTACGTCACTCCTAGCTACCATGGACATCAACACATTGTTGCAACGGTTTTGGGAACTGGAAGAACTTCCATCGTTCACGTCTGCCAATAAAGAAGATGAGTTAGTGGAGACTCATTTCGTCCAAACACACTCCCGTAATGCCGAAGGGAGATACATCGTCGAGCTACCATTCAAGCAAGGGAACCCAGAGTTTGCAGACACCTATCATGGAGCCAAGTCTCGCTTCTTGGCAGTTGAGCGTCGTTTAATGAGGGATGCAGCTTTACGATCGAAGTATGTGCAATTCATGAGGGAGTACATACAACTGGATCACATGAAGGAGGTGGATGCAGAAGAAGACGCCACTTCGAAGAAGGTTTTCTACATGCCGCACCATCCAGTGCTAGGGGCAAAGCTGCGTGTGGTATTTGATGGCTCATTTCAAGACCAAGATGGTCGGTCTCTAAACGATGCGCTTCATATTGGTCCATGTATACAACGCAATCTCTTCAACGTATGCATGAGGTTTCGAATGCACAAGTTTGTATTTTCGGCTGATATTGTGAAGATGTTTAGACAAATTTTGGTTGCATCTAAACATCAGGACTTTCAACGAATATTATGGAGAGAACATCCGTCAGCACCATTGAAACACTTCAGACTCTGCACAGTTACATACGGGACTGCGTCTGCGCCATTCCTCGCAGTCCGGGTGTTAGAACAACTTGCCAAGGACCACGAGAATGAGTTTCCTAGAGCAGCTAAGATATTACTTGAGGATTTCTACGTGGACGATGTATTAACAGGAGCCATGACAGAGGAAGAACTTATTGACATTCAAACTGAGCTGGTTGCACTCATGTCACGTGCGCAACTGGAATTGGGAAAATGGATCTCAAATAGCACACGACTATGCACCGCGCAAGGTGATAGAGTCAACATGTCAACAGCAACATCAAAGGTACTAGGACTACATTGGGATCCTGGAGAAGACAACCTTGCATACAACATTGTATTATCGGAAACTGCAAGCTGCACAAAGCGACAAGTGCTATCCGATGTAGCACACATTTTTGATCCTCTGGGCATTTTGGCACCAGTGGTAGTCCAATTCAAGATTCTACTGCAAGAACTTTGGTTGCTTGATTTGGATTGGGACTCTGAACTTCCGATGAAACAGGCGCACTCTTGGCAGATGTATCGCAAGGACATTTCGTCGCTACAACAGCTCAAGATACCTCGCTTCATAGACAGTCACATGGATCACATCGAGTTACATGCATTCTCAGACGCTTCGCTTAAGGCATACTCTGCGGTCGTCTACAGCAGAGTTGAGTATAGTGACGGCTCTATAGGAGTATATCTTGTTGCTGCTAAGACTCGCGTCGCACCTTTAAAACTAGCAACGCTGCCACGCCTCGAACTGTGTGGAGCTCTACTGCTGACTAGACTTGTTAAGGCAATTCAAGCTAGTTTGGGCAAGAAGGAAGTGAAGGTATATGCATGGTGCGATTCTACAATCGTATTGTCCTGGCTGTCAAATCAACCCTGTAAATTGAAGATGTTCGTAGCCAATCGTACGGCAGAAATACTTGAGACAATCCCACGGGACGCTTGGAGGCATGTGAGTACCAAGGAAAATCCTGCAGATTGTGCATCCCGAGGAATGCTCGCCGGTGACCTTCTTAAATTTGACTTATGGTGGAAGGGACCGTCCTGGCTACATGATTCCCAGGAGTATTTGGAGATGCTTCGACGATCAAAATTCTGCTGTTCTATCGTGCCGCCAGCAGCAGAAGCGGAATTCAAGGCCAATATTCTGACGGTAACGGAGGACATGGCATCGTCCCCCTTTGATGCTTTACTTACTAGAGTATCATCATGGCTGCGACTGATTCGAATCATCGCATACGTCCGGCGCTTTGTACATCGCGTCCGATCAAGAAACTCACTTCATTCAGCAGCCTTGACGTTCCATGAAATTGACGCAGCACGAAAGTTTTGTCTAGTGCAAGCACAAAACGCATTTGATGTTGATCGGCAGCGCTTGTTGAAGAAGCAACCGCTGCAGCACCGTTCCAAGTTGAGCAAGCTAGCTCCATTTGTTGACCAGGATGGCCTTATTCGAGTTGGAGGACGCTTAGAAAACTCTTACCTATCTAGAGACGCCAAACACCCAATTGTACTGCCTAACCATCATCGACTAGTTGAGCTGTTAGTGAAGCATGAGCATCAGTTCAACCTTCATCCTGGAGTTTCGGCAATGTTTGCTATAATTCGTCAGAAGTTCTGGATACTTGGATCCAGAAACCTCATCCGACGAATCACGCATGGATGTCTAAACTGTTTCAAGCAGCGTCATCATACTACACAACAGCTTATGGCTAACTTACCTGCCACTCGCGTGCGGCAGGCCTTTACATTCGAACACACTGGAGTCGATTATGCTGGACCTATCTTGCTAAAGGTACACAAGGGACGCAACCCGCGTAAGGAGAAGGGCTACATTTGTCTCTTTGTATGCATGGTGACATCAGCACTTCATCTAGAATTGGCAACTGACCTAAGCACAGACACCTTTCTGGCAGCCCTCAGACGTTTTATGGCCCGCCGTGGGAAGCCTGCCGAGATGTACAGCGACAATGGACGTAACTTCGTCGGTGCTAAGCGCACATTAAATGAGATGTCACAACTACATACTTCACGCGAGCATAATGAAGTGGTAGCGAGGAAGTTGGCGGAGCAAAGCATCAAGTGGAATTTCATTCCACCATATACTCCACATTGGGGTGTAAAATGGGAGTCTGCTGTACGTTCCGTGAAGCTACACTTGCGACGAGTGATCGGAAACACAGTGATTACATTTGAACAGATGCGCACTCTGCTTACACAAATAGAAGCAGTCGTGAACTCTCGTCCATTATGCGCAACTTCGGACACAGAAATTGGATTCTTGTCACCAGCACATTTTTTGATCGGACGGACGTACACTGCAGTTCCAGATGGGAGCTACGCAGAGGTACCAACCAATCGCTTGGGATATTGGCAACATACTCAGGCAATGCTTCAAGGATTTTGGAAACGTTGGCAGCAGGAATACTTAACAGCATTGCAGCAACGACCAAAATGGTCTACCAAGATGCCTAACATATCCCTTGGAGACATTGTACTCATCAAGGATTCGCATACGCCTCCAGCAACATGGAACTTAGGACGCGTAATCGAAGTGTACCCAGGAGAGGATGGATTAGTACGGGCAGTTAAACTCAAGGTCGTTTCTGGAGAGATTATACGACCCATCACGAAGATAGCAGCTCTACCACATTCTGAAACGGAGTTTCAGGGGGGGCCGGGATGTTGAGGAACCATTTGTCATTTTTTTGCACATTTATCATTTTTTAGCATATTTGTCATTTTTTAGTATAATTTGTAGCTTTCATTATTATCGGCGAATGAAGAGCCGCATCGAGATCAATTATCGGTTAAGTCGATAAACTTATGTTAGTATTCAGTAAGCAAACGAACGGACAAGTTGAGCGTACCAGCAATTGGCTGTTATAGTTCATATAAAATAAAGAAATGTTTAATTATTCATCAAAACTATCAAACGCTTTCTTCGATCTTTGTGTCCTTTAGATTTGAAGAGACTTATAATACTTAATTCCTTGTGAAAGTTTGTATTTACTTACTAAGCAATCGGTTGGCAGTGTAGGATGCAAGTTTTCCCAAAGTTCAGTTTCCCTTTCTACATTCTTGGGATTCCTAGGCGTTGAGACTTCAACTTCCATATTTGTTGCCTTGGGTAATTTTGTTGACATTTGATTCACTTTCATACTTACGGGCGCTGCTGTGACAGCCAAGGGCGTAGGCTTGAGCGAATCAGTTTGTTCTTCAGCCTGTTGGAATATAGTTAATGAAGCATTTTAGATTACTTAGATAAAAAATTGAAATCCTAGCATGTGGAATAAATAATAAGTTAATATTTTAAATAAATATTACCATACCTTCGAAATCAGTGGTCAGATCTAAGTCTTTGTACATTTTCCCTAAATCATCTAGCGTCAGCGACTTTTTAATTTCAGGCTCATCCGTGGAACGTTTTTAGATCAACTTTTATAATTTACTTATACTTTAGTTTACTTACGTATTCTTGTGGCTCGTCTTTTGCGCCATTTTCTGCAGATGAATCGGAATTCTTACGTGGGCTTTCAAATTCCTTGAAGCACCATCAGTTACCTTAATAGATAAGTTAACAGAAACATATTGAAGAACATGCTCGATGATGTTACTTACTTCCGATTGGGGGAGGCAAGGTTCGTTTGTCGTTTGCCTCTTGTAGCCCTCGCAGCAAACTCGTTGCAATTGCGTTGTCGTAATTCGCTTTTATCAATTGGAAAATAACTACTATTATATTATAGTAATTATTATCATCTTTATTATTTACCGAGACTCCATTGGGAGCCAACGTTTGCTTATCCCAGACCTGAATCAGTTCTGTGCACTCATGCTCGTCCACCTTTCGCAAACAGGTCTTCGACTCGTTCAGCCTCTCATAGCCATCACAGCACACCATTGGTGGCTTGAGAGTGTTGTATTTAATTAGTATTCCAACAGAATCTAACTATCGCTTACCACCCCTTGGTTGTTTGATCTAAACGTTATCCAACGATTTTGGTCTGCCAAGTCCTTGTCCACGCATAAGTTTCTATTCATCTTTGGCTTACATCCCGTGCCACCTTCGATCTTCTCATAGTCATCATCTATGCAAGCACAGTGCTCCGGCGAATCGCATTTGGCCCGCAGTCCGTAGAACAAACGGGCAGGCATTTTCCGATTAGTCCTGCATATCCGGGACAGCATTGATAGAATTTATCCTGTGGTGGCAAAGTAGTAGGATTAAATATGACTTCACTGTTACGTAGAATTCATTTCAACGAAAATTTGGACGTGAGCTGCTTCTGGAAGAAAGAAGTTTCGCCTTACCCAGTCATTCCTTAAGTCAATCATCAGATCAATAGTGATGCCGGGAATTAAACAGGTATTGTTGTAGTCCATTGGACTACAGTTAGCTTTAAAGATTATCCAAAACAGGAATAATAATAGATTCTGAGTCCTGCCCATGGTCAGAGCTTTAAGGATTTCGACTAGCCGCGCTTACAAAACGCAACTAATTAAACGCAAATTGGTCACAAATGCAATCTTTTATTTATTTTAATATGTATAAACACAAGTTCTCTGAAACCCTTATCATTGAAACAGCATAGCGGAAGTGAAACTTTGATATTATATACAAATAATTGTACATTATTTTTATAACTTTTAATTTTGGGGAAACACGTTTTTTTTTTAATATGTATTTTGTATGCAAAATTGTCAACAGAAATGATTAAAAGTTTTTCCATAGAAATAATAAGTAAGACGAAGTCTCAAATTCCTCAATGTATGGCGATAAGCGTGCTGCGTTCCGCATACGGGCTTAAAAGCTCAAGCTCTAACGGTGGCTGCCGATAATTGCCACTCTCAGCAGCAATGGTCATCAGCTGAGAGAGTCAAACTCGGATAGTTTTGAGACAACTTTTATTTTTTAAAAAGCATAGAATTTTTGTTGTTTTATTATTTGTAAGAATATCAATTATTTCTAATAATCCAACAGAAATGCCATGAGAATAAATGTAAAAAAGTCACAGCTGCGAATTAGTTTTGAGCTCATCGACCTGGCCATTGGCACAATTGGCTTGTCTTCTATTGATGCTGCTGTGGTGCACTGTTCGGGGTCTTCAGTTGATGTAGGCACAGGTTGGCAGCCCTCTCCGGGTATAGCAGAAGGCTCGTAGCCATCGCAGCATACTTCGCGTGGCTCCAATTTGACTTTTTCCTGGTTATATGTCAAGATATATCAATATATTAATATATTCTTATATATATATATATATAAGCATATCTCCATTATATATGTACTTACAACCATGGCAAACTTACAACTATGGCAAACTCGCCATAGTTGTCCAGGTTAACGCGTTCCGTTACTGTGTACGGCACTTCGACATTTTTGATGCACAAATGGGGATCTTCTGTGGAAGTTGCCATATGTATGTAAGCACTCAGTATGGCAAGTAGAAGTACCCAAATTTTGCACATGATCAATTCAGAGTGTATAAATCTAAACTAAAACATTGTTTGAAGTTCAGCGAGCAGCTGTGCCCAATCTTATATTCGTTCACGAATCAAGAAGAGTATATTTGTTTAACGGAATGCTGGCAGAACCCTAGCGATTGTCCGTCTCTCTACTTGCTAGAGCGACCATTTCAGCACTAAGCTAAACATTTGAAATCTGAATATTGAACTCATATATTCATTCGGCTCTCTTTTAAGTGCTTTAAGTTTTTAAGTGTGGAAAATCGGGAAATATTAAAGAGTATTTACGATGCTATTAATTTTAGACACTTTGAACTTGAAATTTATGTTTATAAAGATTCGCTAAAAATATAAATACCTTATCCTAAAATGTATCATGAACAGTCTTGCAGATAGAGCAGCTAGAAAACAATTTAGCAAATTACTCAGCAGTTTTATCGAATAATCACAATATAATAATGTAATATACATTTTTGGAATGATTATTTAATGTGTATAAATCCCATTATACTTTGAACACTATTTGTTCCACAAATATGTCATGTGATATAATAAATATATAAAAGACTCTTTAAAGGCGGACATTACTAATCAGTTACAGTTAACCAGTTTAAAGCGTTGAATCAAATTTGCATATAAAATTATAAATTATATGGCTCGTTCACTGGCGAGTATAATACAGCCGGTCCCACTTACTTACACTTCTTTATTTATTAAAATTTTTTTTTAATATATAACATTTGATATTCCATACCCCATATCTTGTATGTAAAAGGAACTGACTCATGAGTCACTTCTGTTCATATAAACGATATAAGACTGCCTAATATGGTACATATTAATTTTACATATTATATTATTAGGACTGAATCTGTAACTATATATGAATATATTATATTCATTATATATATATATGTATATATATATATATATATATATATATCACGTCGGGGTCACCAAATGTTGAGCTATCGAGATTTTTCGAATAGCTTTAAATTATTAAACGATTGAATTTACTTAGTGATTAGTTTATTAGCGATTATTTGAGTTTACAGAGTTTATGTGATAGACGCGAGCAAGCGACTAGGCTGTCGTGCTGTCCGCTACTATGTTTGTAATAGTCAATCTAACACAGCATCTGCTCTAAACAAGAGTTAATATATATATATATATATATATTCCGTAACGGTTGTCAAAGCATAAGTTTCTATTTATTTTATATTAGATTTAATTCTGGCCTACATTCTCGATCTCTACATACCCATAAAAAAAAAATATATATATATATATATATAATGACAAAATTTCTGTCACTCATATTACATAATATTTAGCTCATATCATTAATTGTAAAAGAAGTTTCGCGGTCTATAAGTTCATTGCCAGCTTCATATTGTTTATCTCGCAAAGCCGTTATCTTTCGGTATGAATAGACGCAATATATAAGCAGTACAATAGCTGCTAAAATCAGTGGAAGTCCAATTGAGTAGATAAACAAGTTGGTCGAACTCTTGTTCATTGCGGCATTTTCAGTACTGTCGGTTGAACTTTCAATAGAACTTGTTGTGTAAATCACTGCTGTGGCCAAAACTGCTTGGCAGATTCCATCGTAGCCCTCGAAGTAGCCCGGACAGCAAACTTGACGAGGCTCTAATTTCGTTTTTATCTATGTGATAATAGATAATATTTATATATATATATATTTATATAAATATATATATATATTCTAATATCAGAAGACTCGTTCAAGCTCTGTGCTTACGACTTCACGCATTGAGCCTACAATGCCTAGCCTTATGAAGTGCTCTGCAAAGTTGCCGGACTCCTCCATAGGTGTCTCCTCCGTTATTGTATAGCTCACTATGTTGTGCACTGTGCACAAACTAGATTCGGTTGAAGTCCCTAAGTCGTCCTTTTCAGTTTGAAGCAGCGCCTGGGCCACTAGACTAAATATTAATATTACTTTAAGCTTCCACATTCTGGCATCCAATTGTTTGTTCTTCCCCAAGCTCGCGTCTTGTGATCTGCAGTGAGGGGCACTTGGCTGTCTACTGATTTAGTTAGTCACACAAATATGTCCCATTGTTGCAACTGATAACCTACTGAAATTACTTAAACTGAATTTACCTCAGAATATGTCACTGTTGTGAGAAATAATATTATCTGTTTATTATGCTCAATCTGAAAATGTAGAGAGTATATTGCTTCCAAACTTGTTAGCCTTTAAAACATATACTTGGAGAGGTTATCTTTTGCAGTAACCTGTTCCACAGTTATCGATTTAGTGCTTACATTTTGATAGTTAAGCTAATAAGATACCTTCTTAGGATTGCCCAAAAATAATATATTTACCTATTTCTTATTGATTTTGCTCACTTTTCTTATATTGAGATCTTAAAATGTTCAACTTTGCAGATGGATACTAATAGACATTCTAGCATTCGTATTTCTTTGTGTACAACTAATTTGGGTATTGTATTTGTTAATGGATTGCATATTTAGAGGCTTTGGGTCTTAACCCTGATCATCATATATATGTGGTATATATTAAAGCTTTAGCATACTTTTACCGTTTCATACGTAGAAACTTTACGTAAAGTTTGAGTCTCACTTCAGCTTTGTCTGGCGTACAGTTGTAACACAAATAAAAGCTTTTCGAAGTTTCTCAGAAGCTCTAAGCGTTTGGCGCTCTCGAAAGCTTTTATTTTTACATTAAAAATTTATAATATTACCATTTTATGTTGAAATCGTTAGTTTCAGAAATGGGCAAACACATAGAAATAATCTCAAAATATAGAAAAACTCGAAATTTCACAAAACATTTTGTAAGATTTTAAACTTAAATTGTGGTGAAATATTTATATTTATCAAGATAATCCTATTATATGAATATATTTATATTTACTATGTATATTATATATATTTATATTTACATTATATATTATATATATATATATATATATCTACATTTTTTTTTTTTACAAATGAAAGTGAGACAATAATCTTTAACATATTTATTTTTATTAATTTTTTGTGTATTTTTTCATGCTATTACTTATAGGTTTGTGCCTATTTTCATTATATTTATACATAATAATTATAATAATAAAGTGTAAATAATAACATGGAAAACTACAAAAGTAATGTAGTATATAAAAGAATTAGTTTCAGCAATAACAGTTGTTGTTGTAGTTGTTAATATACTATTATACTTGACTTGACTCTAATAACGACCCAAGTAGACTCTAATATTATTTATATTAATATGTCATTTTAATCTGTCTTTCAATTAATGTTATTTCTGTATTTATTTAAATTTATTTATTCAATATTGACTGCTTAAGAATTGATTTTGCCCCGATTGAAATTGAACCTAATAAGAACTCATTACAAATCACAAAAGAGAAAAACGAGAATGTCTTTTAAATTTCTTTTTATTTACATTGTTGAAATATGTACAAAAATTTCATAGAATAGAAATTGACGTAAAATAAAGTCGTAGAGGCAACTGAATTTTCGATGTTTTTGTTTAGTTTTCTGTCTAGAAAGAACTGTACATAAGTGGAAGATGGTGACACAACTAACATACAGACAAGCAGGACAACCGAATGCGACTTGATGATTGTTTCTCCTTCCATTGAAGGGGGAGGGAGGGGCTGGCAAGTTTCCAGAGTGTTCCGTTTAGGAAAACACTCAACGAATTGCCGCATTTGATGATCTTCCCGTTGAACACGCTGTTCGTTGCTTTCCTCCTAGAATTTCGGTTGGTATCACAAACTAAAACTAAAGTGTAAGTCGTACTTTGAGGGTTGCGGGTCGCGGGTTTCTTTTTTCGTTTTTGGGATAGTTCCAGTTAGGTTCATTTCTTATCTTTTTCTTATGGTTGTTCTTGTTGTTGTTGTTATGATAAAGTATTGTTTGATGTTGGTTGCCATACGCCTTTTACCCGATGCTGGTGTGGCCCTCATTAGCATTAAAATTGATCTACTTTTTGTGGAGGTAGCCGCCGTGTCCGGAGACGACACCGTGTCCGGTGACGCCATATCCGGAGATACCATGACCGGTGGAGATGATACCATGACCGGAGCCGACAGCAATGCCAGGTCCGGAGATACCAATGCCTGAGCCGCCACCGTAGGCAATTGGCGCGCTGACGATGGGCTGACCCTCGGTTCTGGTGACGGTGTGGGTGACGGTGATGGCGGGCTTCACGTGGCTCTCAACGTGCACGTTGACGGGCACTTTCACCTCATAGGGCACTGGGCGATCGACATGGACGGGCACCTTCTGGATGACGCGCTTCTCAACGGTGTAGGGGACTGGCTTCTCGACGGGCACGGGGTATGGCTTGGGCACATGGACGGTGTAGGGACGATCGACGGGGATCTTGACGGGCACCTTGACGACCTTCTCGACGGGGTAGGGCTGTGGCACATGGACGGGCACCTTGACGATCTCCTTCACTGGGTATTGGACGACCTTCTCGACGGGGTAGGGCTGTGGCACGGGCACCTTGACGGGATAGGTGACGGTCTTCTCAACAGGATAGGGCACACGACGCTCCACCTGATAAGGCACCTGCACGGTACGCACAACGGTGTTGGTGCGCACCTGTGTGGGCAGCTGCTGGACAACGGCACCGGGTCCGCTGCTTAAAATTGCACCACCGCCCAGAATCGCACCACCGCCCAGACCGGAGACACCGTAGCTGGAGCCACCATAGCCATAGCCCGAATAGGCAATGCCGCGCTTCTCCTGCTTCTTCTCAGGCGCTTCAGCAGCAACTGCAGCCTCTACTTTCTTTTCGGCCTCCTCGGCGCTGGCCAACAGCGCGCACATAGCCACCAGGCCAAAAATGAGCTGCAAAATGAAAAAGAAAACCAAAGTGGGTTAATCGATACGATCGCTACAACAACGATTATATAATCAGACTGCTGCGGCACTTCCGCCAACAATTATTTCAAATATGACAATTATGCAATCTGCCAAATGTGTTTGGCTGCGCGCCAAGTTCAATGGTAGCTCCACTCATCGGCCACGCGGCGCATACGTAA